AAAAAAAAAAAAAAAAGAATGCCTGGGCTAAGGAGATGCTGAGAGGTTGGGTCATGTTCATGGTTAAGAGCTGGGTGAAGGGCTGTGCACTGGTCTCCCGGGACTGCCCAGCTTGGTTTACTCCTGCTCACTCTGTTTCTGTAGGAACCACCACTCTCTCCAATATCCTTCCTGTCTTTCTATTTTTAATGTTTTGTGTAAGTTAAAAATTGTGTGTTTCAGTTACTTGCGTCCACCAGGACCATGAGTTAAAAGTCATAATAAGGCACTATCTCACTACCATGAGAAAAAAAGAAAAATGAAATTTCCTTCTCAGGAAGTTTGCAGATAATGTGGACAGCTTCAGCTTCAGCCATCAAAGAATTTCATCACAATTTCAGTGCTGATTTGAAGATGATATCAATTTGAAGAAAAAGATGGGAGAACAGATGTCCCGTAGCCCAGTTGGCTGGTAAGTGGTCAACTTCCAGTACTTACTGGCTTTACCAAATGCCACCTCATATAACCGATTCCTCAGCTGAATCTCTGATTACTGAAGCGAAGTCAGGGAAGAAGGTGGGGGTGAGGGTCGTGTGGCCCAGGAGATAGCTGCTTGCTATTTGTAGCAAGGCCAGCAGACTGACAGATTATAATTAGAAATTATTTTATTTATTTATGTACTTTTTTGAGATAGTCTTACTATGTCGCCCTCAGTAGAATGCCATGGCATCACAGCTCACAGCAACCTCTAATTCTTGGGTTTAAGTGATTCTCTTGTCTCAGCCTCCTTAGTAGCTGGGACTATAGGTGCCCACCACAATGCCCAGCTATTTTTTGTTGCAGTTGCCATTGTTGTCCTAGATGGCCCAGGCTGGGTTTGAACCTGCCAGCCTTGGTATATGTGACTGGCGCTGAAACCACTGTGCTAGGGGTGCCAAGCTGAAACCACTGTGCTAGGGGTGCCAAGGAATTATTTTGAATATAGCCCAAAATTTATTTTAAGGACCTATGGTGTATGTGCACCAGGATACCATGTGGTTTAGGTCCCCTCACTCCATCTGAGGCACCCTGGGGTTAACAAGCTAATGAATCTGGAAAGGAGAAGGGAACACAAAATCAGGAGCAAATACCACCTTGCACCCCTGATTTTATGGTTCTAGATTCAGGGATAATCTCTTGATATTTGGAAGGGAGTATTTGGGAGCAGCTAAAAGGAAGTCCTACTTTATAGCCTAGAGTGAACTTACAGAACTTATGACCCTAAGAATTTGTAACCCCTAAAATAAAGGAAGCAGCTGCAGGACAGCTGCGGGCTTGAGACAGTAATCGAAAGTAGATGCAGATATGATTATAAATGCCCTTTGCAATATTATATAGGCACACAGACACACTCTCTCACACCACACACAGCACCACAGTGTGAGACCTGGTCGTTTGTGCGAGATTTAGTCTATCCTGCCTTCCTTGCTCCTATTTTTTATTTTTACTTATTAATTAATTTTATTTTTTGAGACAGTCTCATTTTGTCACCCTCGGCAGAGTTCTATGGTGTCATAGCTCACAGCAACCTCCAACTCTTGGGCTTAAGCAATTCTCTTGCCTCAGCCTCCCAGTAGCTGGGACCATAGGCACCCACCACAACACTCAGCTACTTTTAAAAAATTTTTTTGTTGGCTCGGCGCCTGTGGCTCCAACGGCTAAGGGGCCAGCCACACACACCTAAGGTGGCGAGTTCAAATCCCCAGCCCGGGCCCGCCAAACAACAATGATGGCTGCAACCAAAAAATGGCCAGGCGTTGTGGTGGGCGACTGTAGTCCCAGCTACTTGGGAGGCTGAGGCAGGAGACTCGCTTGAGCCCAGGAGTTGGAGGTTGCTGTGAACCTGATGCCATGGCACTCTGCCCAGGGGAACAGCTTGAGGCTCTGTCTCAAAAAAAAAAAAAAAAAAATTTTTTTTGTTGTAGTTGTCATTATTGTTTGGCAGGCCTGGGCTGGGTTTGAACCCGCCAGCTCCAGTGTATATGGCTGGTGCCCTAGCCAGTGAGCTACAGGTGCCAAGCCTATTTACTTATTTATTTTAACACAGAGTCTCACTTTGTTGCCCTCAGTAGAGTGCTGTGTTGTCATAGCTCACAGCAACCTCAAACTCTTGGGCTTAAGCGATTCTCTTGCCTCAGCCTCTCAAGTAGCTGGGACTATAGGCTCTGGTCACAACATCTAGCTATTTTTAGAGACGAGGTCTTGCTCTGGCTCAGGGTGGTTTCAAACCTGTGAGCTCAGGTAATCCACTCTCCTCAACCTCCCAAGTGCTAGGATTACGAGTGCTATTTTTATTTTTATTTATTTATTTATTTTGAGACAGAATCTCAACTGTCACCCTGGGTAGAGTGCTGTGGCATCATAGCTCACGGCAACCTCTAACTCCAGCTCAAGCCGTCCTCTTGCCTCAGTTTTTCTATTTTTATTTATTTCTTTTCTTTTCTTTTTTTCTGAGACAGAGTCTCAGTGTGTTGCCCTTGGTACAGTGCCCTGGTGTCATAAATCATAGCAACCTTTAATTCTTGGGCTTAAGCAATTCTCTTGCCTCAGCTTTCCAAGTAGCTGGGACTACAGGCGCCCACCACAATGCCTGGTTACTTATTTATTTATTTTGGTTGTAGTTATCATTATTGTTTGGCAGGTCTGGGCTGGGTTCAAACCCGACAGCTCCGGTGTATGTGGCCCTAGCCATTGAGCTACAGGAGCCGAGCCAGTTTTTCTATTTTTATTTATTTATTTAGACAGAGCCTCAAGCTATCGCCCTGGGTAGAGTGCCGTGGCATCACATCTCACAGCAACCTCCAACTCCTGGGCTCAAGCTAGTCTCCTGCCTCCGCCTCCCAAGTAGCTGGGACTACAGGCACCCACCACAACATCTGAGTATTTTTTGGTTGCAGTCGTCATTGTTGTTTGGCGGGCCTGGGCTGGATTCTAACCCCCCAGCTCAGGTGTATGTGGCTGGAGACTTAGCTGCTTGAGCCACAGGTGCCAAGCCGAGTTTTTCTATTTTTAGTAAAGACAGGTTCTGTCTTTTGCTCAGGCTGGTCTCAAACTTCTGAGTTCAAACAATGCACCTGCCTTGGCTTCTCAGAGTGCTATGATTACAGGTGTGAGCCATTGGGTCCAGTCCTTGCTCCTATTTTTAAAAGTTGTTTATTCGGGCTCGGCGCCTGTGGCTCAAGCGGCTAAGGCGCCAGCCACATACACCTAAGGTGGCAGGTTCGAATCCCCAGCCCGGGCCCGTCAAACAACAATGATGGCTGCAACCAAAAAATGGCCAGGTGTTGCGGCGGTGCACCTGTAGTCCCAGCTACTTGGGAGGCTGAGGCAGGAGACTCGCTTGAGCCCAGGAGTTGGAGGTTGCTGTGAGCGTGATGCCATGGCACTCTACCCAGGGGGATAGCTTGAGGCTCTGTCGCAAAAAAAAAAAAAAAGTTGTTTATTCGTTTGTTTAGAGACCAAATTTTGCTTTCTCTGTTGCCCAGGCTGGAGTCCAGTGGCCCAATCATAGCTCACTGTAACCTTGAATTTTTGGGTACTGCTCACACCAGCCTGTTCTCTGTTCCTCATTATAGTAGGTTGAACTGTGGTTCCCCACAATTACGTTCATCCCAAATCTTAAAATTTGACTTTATTAGGAATAAGGATCTTTGCCAGTGTAATTAAGGTAAAGATCTCAAGAATAGATTAACCTGGATTAGGGTGGGCCCTAAAACCAATGACAAGTGTCCTTATAAGAGAAGAGTACTCAGGAACAGAGGAGCCGGCCATGGAAGAGGGAAGAGACTGGAGGATGTGTCTACAAGCCAAGGAACACCAAGGAACACCTGCCAGCAGCCCTAAGGAGCCAGGAGTGAGGCAGGAAGCACATTCTCCCTTGGAGCCTCCAGACAGAACCGACTCTCCTAACACCTTGATTTTGGACTTTCAGCTTCCAGATCTTGGAGGGGATACATTCCTCTTACTTGAAGCCACCTGGTTTGTGGTACTTTCTTAAGGCTGCCATGGGAAACTAATA